TTTGTGCGCAGTTTAATAGGATGGGGTGGCCCGAGACCGGAGCCCTTGCCTCCCCGGTCCCCCGCGGCCCACCGGTGAGCGTGACCCCGCGGCACAAGTTCCAGCCCTGGACGCACTCAGGGGCCGCGTGACATTGACTCGCGTTGGGCAGGGTCTGCGAGTGCGTGGCTGTTCCACCCTATCCCGCAGTTCAGGGGACTTTCCCGGTGTGTGTTCCCAGGATTTCCCTATTCTCTGGCCCTCCCGGCCCCTGTGGCCTCCTTCCCGCCGGGGCCCAAGGTCTGTCTGGCTCTCCAATTTCGGGTTCTTTCCCAGGCCCCTGCCTGTGCGCAGCGCCGGGTCCTGAGCCGGAGCCGGAGTAGGGCTGGAGGCCGGGGAGCGGGTGCAGGCTGAGCGTGACCTCCCGGCGCGGAGGACGTGGGGGCGGGCCGCTCCTGCAACTCGGGACTGGCGGCGGGAACGCGAACTGCGGGCCTTTGGCGCATTGGCTTCTCACCCTTTCTCGAGGGCTGAGTGTCATGGCGCGCAACCTGGGCCTGAGACCACGAGCCCTTCGAGGGCGCTGCGCCTGGGCGCGCCCACGCGCCCCCCCGATGCCTCAGCGGGCTCGGCTTCCAGGAACACCCTGCCCGGGCTTCTCAACGCCGGAAATGCAGTTTATTACTCTTTGGAAGGCTGGTAGGGAGGTCAGCTGGCTCCCCGGAGTGGGCCGCGAGTGAGATGGGGTATTCACAAAGTACGCTGAACGTTGGGCGGGTGCGGGCTCCGCGGCTGGCCTCACTCCCTGGGACCCCAACTTGGTCCAAGTTTCTGGATGACTCTGAGACTGGCACCAGCTCGCCTCCCGCTCTCCAGGCCTTGCACCACGCAACAGTGGAGGTCCTGGGACTGGGGAGGTACCAGGGGGACGCTCACGCCTGGCGCTCGCGGAAGGCCCCTCGCCCTCCCCGAGTGGGTAGCGGACGCGGGCGGAGGGGCTTGGCGCGCGCGGCGGCCGGGGCACTGGGCGCTGCACGGCCAGCAGGGAAGCCGGGCTGGGCCTGGGCGCGGACGCTGCCTGGTCGGTCGTACCGCCCGGCTGGGCCTCGGGTGGTGCCGCGGGTCAACGGCCAAGCGCCGCCTCTGCCCTGCGCTCTGCACGCCGCTCCCCGAACAGGGCTCCAGGGGCGGCGGGCGCTGTCTCTTTAAGGTCACTGCCTGCTCCGGCACGACGTGGGGAGGACAGCTGGGCACTGGCCATCTGACTGACTCCGGCGTGACATCTGGGAGCCCACTGGTGTGTGGCACGCGAAGCGCTTGATGCCGCTATTTAAATGCAAATGTGAGGGGGCTCATTGAAGCCTCTCCCCGTAAATCCGCACAAAAGGAATACTTCCCACCCTCCGAGGAGGAGGCGGCGGCGGCGGAGAGGCGGCGGCGGCGCAAGGGCCACCCGTGCAAATCGCGTTGAGCGCGGGGCCCTGAGCGGTCGCCTTCACCATCGCGGCCCGCGGGGTTCCCAACGAAGGTCAGGCCCCGCCCGGACCGGCCCCTGGGCGTCTGTCTGGCCCCTGGGAGCGCTCTGGGAGCGGAGGCTGGACCAGCGGCCCTGCCTGCGCAACTTCCAAAGTGTCAGCCTGTCTCTCCGCCCCCCCTCCACTCCCCATCCCCCTGCTTCCCCTTCCTGGGCGCTGAGCGCCCCTAGTTCCCCAGAAAGGGAGGGAGGCGGGAGCAGGACTCCAGAGGGAGGAGGCCGGTGCTGGGAAGCGCTCCCAGCATCTCAGGGCATCCAGGAATTGACCTGCAGTCCCCTTCCGCCTCCCCAGCCTGGGTGCACTGTCCCTGGCTCCTTTCCGCCCCTGTTCCCCCTTCCTTAAAGCGAAAATCTGGGGTAGGGTGAGGTGGGGGGTGAGGGCTTGCCCTCCCAGGCTGCTCCCCAGCAGGCCCGGGTGGAGACCGGGCCCGGTCGGGCAGTCCTTGTGCCCGCAGCTCAGAGCCAGCAGTGGAGTGACAAAAAAGATAAAGTTGGTGAATGATAAAGACCGTATTTTCCACGCTTTGGGTGCGGGACCAGATGATCTAGAAAATGAGCTGAAATGGATTCAGCCTCCGAGCCTGTTGTGAGAGCAGCTGATTCCCCCATTTCGGGCCAGATGGCTGCTGAACACAGATTTGCATTCATTTTCGCTTAATATCGTCCAAAATAGTGGGGCAGCTGCATTTGTTGTCAAAAAGGTTTAAAACCCCTTTTCTTTCTGGGGCAGGATCGTTACCTTATGTGATGGGCTTATAGAACTTCTTTCCCCTCTTTAGTCAACAGTATCAGATTTAGAAGGATTTGTTTTTAAACCTTCTAATTTGGTAATCAGATTTAAATCGCCTTGGCGCGTGTAATCTGAATTAAAGATACTGTAAATGATTTTAAGCATGATACTTTCGTTAGCGCAAGGAAGGGGGCACCTCCAAGGCGGGCTGGGCATTTTAGGAAGTGTGCTACAAAGGAAGCATTGTTTCCTATTTCCAACTTCTTCTTTCCTGAAAAGGCACTTTGCATATTCTGACTATAACGCTTGCCTGGCCGCTCGCCCTGTGTCAGCCCCCGAAGCAGCTAAACACGCAGACACAAAGCAATTTCTCAGCCCCACCCTACACCTATGGCCAACTTTATTTTGCATTGTCCCTCCACGAAGAAAGTGTTCCTTTCCCCCACTCAGTCTGAGGTGGGTGGAAAGCTCTGGGCTTACTAGGAATACAGAAATTTTCTTTTAATTTATCGTGAATAGTTTCCATACACTTTGATTTAAGGTTATTAACATTCTATAGACAGTGGCATCTTTAATATGTGGCGATCGCTTCTAAAGACTAATCTCATTACCCTCAAATAGTCATAAAATATGATTTTATTATACTTACGTATTTAATTAGACGGCCGGCACCGTAATGGATTTTGAGATGGGACTGGCGCAACAGCTTTGATAATTCACTTATCTTTGGCAATAGTCATTAACCCCCAACACCAGCAAAATAGATTGCTTTCCAACACATCTTTTTTTTTTCTCACCCCTTCCAAGAGGCGTGGGGGTCCCCAGATAACGTAAATCGGACTTTGATTTTTCCGGAATAATTAAAATATTAACGTACACACACTGCCAATTCATGGAAAAAGAGAGTGCCACCCCATACCGGCCAGGAAAAGGGTGCCCTGCGACACACTTGCACCCTGAAACCTGTTTTGGTTTTGTTTTAATCGAAAGGGCCTGCTTTCTCTCGGCAGGGAAGTGCCGGGACAGCTCCTGGGCGTCCCCTGGGTCTCTGCTCCGTGTCGTGCAGACGTCCTTTGGGCGGGCAGCGCGCCTGGGTTCCGAGTCCCCGCTGCAGGAGCTATGCCGCCGGGCCCACGCGTTGCCCGTGCCCTGCTGCCCTCCCGATTCCTCGAAACCAGGTCGGGAAGCTGCGCGCCGCGCGCTCACCCGGGCTCGGCGGCACTGAGGGCAGGACCCCGGCGCCCGCGGCGTCCGCTCGGCTTTTAGAGAGGCTGGCGCGGGGGAGGTCTAGCTACCGAGCAGGGCGCGCAGCCGGACACCCGGCTCCGGGTCGCCGGAGAGGCCGGGCGCGCTTCCTGTCCGTCCGGAGAGCCCGGAGCCTTCTTTGTCACTCGCCGCGTTTAAGCACAGGCCGGGGGACGGGGTCTCCCGTGGCCACCGGGAAAGAGAGAGCATCTGGGCAGGGCCCGCCTCCGACGTGGGTCCTCAGCCCGGCACTCGGTGGCCTCCCCCAGGGCAGAAAACACCGGCGCCCGGCGAGGCCCAGAACAGGGCAGACCGGCCCCCCAGCTGCCTTAGGTCTGTTTAGAAACCAGGCTGGGCTGCGCGCCCCGCCTTGGCGAGGGAGCCCTGCCCCCTCCACCGCCCCCCCTCCCCATCCCCAGTCGGTTGCTTGCCCCTTCAGCCCCCTCCCTGCGGCCTGCGTGCTTCTTCCCACTTTTCCCCTTTGGGCCGCCCCAGGGCGAGCCGAGGCCCTTTGCGTTTGTTGCGTGCATTTGGGCAACTTGGGGGCGCCTGGGCAGTTTACCCCCTCCTCCCTACAGTGTTTTGACTGTGTGGCTGATTTGGGGAGGAGGTATTCGGGGGGCCGAGCAAAAATCGTGCAGAGGCTGTTTGTTTCATTTCGAGATTTATTTGGGCGAGTAGTAACTTCCTGGGCTGCGGGTGGGCGCGAGGAGCCGTGGAGCCTGGCTGGGGGCGGCGGCGGCGGCGGCGGCGGCGCTCGGTGGCGCTCGGTGGCGGCGGGGCTCGCGGGGCTCGCGGGGCTCGGGCCGGCTCGCGGCGCCGTCAGGCAGTCAGTCAGCGAGCGCGGCGGCAGCGGCGGCGGCGGCGGCGGCGAGGGGCGCGGCGAGGGGCGGCCGCTCCCATATATGGCGCAGGCGCCGCCCCCCGACGTCACCCTCTGACAGCGCCGCTCCCGGGGGCTTCGAGTTTTGGCTCCCGGGAAAGGGTCCATTCCTCGGGGAGAGAGGGCTGAGTTTTGTGCGCCTCCGTCCGCTGCGCGCGCCGCTCCAGGCCCCGCCGCGCCCCGCCTGCGCCCGGGACTGCGCCGCGGCACTCACTGCCCCGTTTATTTGTCTTTGGAGCAGGCGGGCCGCGCCAGAAGCGGGCGATCCCGCAGTGTCCTGCAGCCGCGGACGCCGCCTGGCTAGGATGACACCACGTTGAGCGCGCCTGCAAACAACAACAACAACAACCGCGTCCGCGGCCACCGCGTCCTGCTCCTCCGAAGCGCCGCCGCCCTCGCCGCCGCTGGGGCCGCCGGTGCCGCCGCTTCCGCGCCCCCGGCCGTCCGGAGCGCCCGGCCGCTGGTGTATGTCGCGCCTGCCCGGGACGGGCTGAAGCCGGCGGCGGGCCGGACCGCAGGCGCCGAGCAGGGCGAGCGCGGCCAGGGCAGCCGCCTGCCGCCGAGCCCCGAGCGCCGCTGCTCGCGGAAGCGCTTTCGGCCGGGAGCTGCGGCCGCCGCCAGCAGTTTTCATGTTTGGGATTCAGGAGAATATTCCGCGCGGGGGGACGACCATGAAGGAGGAGCCGCTGGGCAGCGGCATGAACCCGGTGCGCTCGTGGATGCACACGGCGGGGGTGGTGGACGCCAACACGGCCGCCCAGAGGTACGTACCGGCCGCCCCCGCGCGCCCTGGCCCCGGCCCGGCCGGGTCCCCGCAGCCGGCCGGCGCCGCGCGCCTCACCGGGCCGCTGTCTCTTTCCTCCCGCAGCGGCGTGGGGCTGGCGCGGGCGCACTTCGAGAAGCAGCCGCCCTCCAACCTCCGGAAGTCCAATTTCTTCCACTTCGTGCTGGCGCTCTACGACAGGCAGGGGCAGCCGGTGGAGATCGAAAGGACCGCTTTTGTGGACTTTGTGGAGAAAGAGAAAGTAAGTGCAAACATACAATCACACCCTCCATCTTTCTAGAAGTGGGAGGCAGGCGGTGCCCAAGCGCGGTGGCCCCGAGTGCCCCCCGCGGCGGCTAGGACCGCTCCGCGAGGCGCCCCCGCCGCCGCCACGTGCGGCCGCCAGGGCCCGCCGAGGGCTGCGCAACTTCTCCGCGCCCCCGGACTTATTCGGGGCGAGGAGGACGCTGGGCTTCCAGCAGGAAAGTGACATCAGCGCGCGGCTCCGCGCTAGGACTCCTGCCATGTGTGAGGCCGCGGGGCCTCGGTCACGGAGGGGCGCCGCGCACGGCGGCCGCGCCGGACACCGATCACACTAAATGCAATTATTTATCGTTCCTTTCAGGAGCCCAACAACGAGAAAACAAACAACGGCATCCACTATAAACTCCAGTTGCTGTATAGCAATGGTAAGTGGCTGCCGCCGCCGGCCCGCCCCTGCCCGCGCTCCTTTCCCGAGGCGGCTAAAGGACAGAAAGATTTTGAGATTAAAATGACATGGATGTAAACACGAATTCTTCTCATGGCATAGAAGGAAAACAAAACATAAACGATCAATAAGTCGATGGCACTTCACATGATTAACCGGTGGGGCTTGAAGCAGAAAGTAAAAAGGGGGATCGATATGGGCTTCAGCAGAGCATCACTTTTAAGGGACTTTTTTCAATTTTGCAAATTAATGTTAATTATTGAGATGGGGGAAGCTCCATAAACGGAGCATAACTTACTTCCTGTGCACGAGTTTTTTAAAAAAATCCTCGAGAGACATTAGAAAGAGTTCAAACTCTCAGTCATTTGGTGCTCTGTTTTCTAAAAAATAAATGAGCACATAGGCCCACCGGTGTGGCAACCAGGCCTGCTCTCAGTCTGGCAAATTTGTTGCACCTTTCAGTGCAAACCTAAGAGTCTTGAGGTTCTTAATTAAGAAACCTAGAGAAGGAGAAGTGATTGGGGTTCTCTTTCTTGCCTTTTTAAAGGGCATGCCTAAGTTTTGCTGCTTCACCGCCCACAGCAGTCCTGATTTACCGACTTCCTGTGCCCCAGGTGCCCTCCCTAAAATCCTGATGAGAATTTGTCCCTGTTTTTTGCAGGAGTCAGAACGGAGCAGGATCTGTATGTTCGCCTCATAGATTCAATGACCAAACAGGTGAGAAAGTTCAAGCCTCCGCACTAGTCCGCGCTGCTCAGCTGGCTTGTCCTGGGGTTGAGATGGGGGTACTGACAAATGGATCTGGTGGAGTTGTTTTCCATCTAGTTTCCTTGACATGCTGATGAGAATTCCATATTTATTGGAATAAATGATGCGTTGGGTAAAACAGTTTATGTTGTCGTTAGGACAGGACATCTATGCTTTCATTAGATGGCGTGCGATGGGATAAAATTCTGTCTTAATTAGTTATGGTAATTAATATTTGACAGAAAAATTTCAGGATACTTCCTCTCTTGTATATTTTTTTTAAATGTTTCTCTCTCTGCTTGGAATCATTTCATTGATTTTTTTTTTCTATAACAAAGGCATCTAACTCCTTTCCAAAGCCCATTGAGTTGGACTTGATTAGTTCATTTTTTTCTCCTTTCCAGTGTGATGGTCTAGTAACGCGAGACGTTGATTTGGATTTAAAAGTGAAATGTGTTGGGGTGAAAAGTCACCTTGTTCTCCGCTAGTGCGTCTTCACCTCTCAGCCTTCCCTCTCCATAATTCAAACTCCCAGCTCCAGAGGTCACCCACAACCGTCCATTGCTCTGGAAGCAGCTTTTGCTCTCTCTCCCACCCTCTGTCATACCTTGTAAATAACATAATTAGAAGCAGTTCCTTATTAAATTATTTAACCTGTCTTGGTCAACTTTTCCGATGGTAACTATTGGCTATCAGTAATGTGATTTAGTGCAGAAAAAGCGCTTCATTGCTTTTTGACGTTGTGCAGTCTCTGGCTGGTTTTGTACTGGGTGGTGTGTTGTGTAGTCCTGGTAAAATTTTATCCCCCCCTCATTTTCTTAAAATAGTGTTGGGGGAGGGGAAAGTTCAATGTGTACAGTAAACCCACTCCAACTGATTGATTTAACATATACTTCCAAGGTGGGCTTCGGGCTTAGAAATGAAAGTAGCACCTTCATTTTTGATGCTAACTTTAAGAATTGTGAGCCAAGTGAAAAAGAACTCCTTGGTGCTTCCTGCAGCCCAGCTCCCTTGCTTCCCACTCTGTGCACAGCAATTAGTTTTTGGATTTTACTTCCCCTTTAAAAAGTTGGTCCTTACCTAGGCAACAAGCGGGTTGGATTTTAGTGTCTGCGGCGGCGGCGTAAAACAGTGTGGTTTTCTCTCAGAGTGAAACAGATCTTACAGGTAAACGACCATGTTTCTGACAAAGACGGAGGCCGTGTGCCCTTCAGTAATTATTCCACTCGGATCCATAGAAGCCTCTGGAACTAGGGCTGCTCCTTGACAGGGTGCTTTTATTTCCTTTGTATATAAGGGCTAAATGTTGTCGGAAGCCGCAGTGGTCTAATTAAGAGGTTGATGTAGGCAGCACTAAGTTTCTCTGTTGTTGCTTAGAGGAGGAGGCTTCGTTTTAAGTGTACTCTTATTGTTCCTTTAGCCATGTACCTTTGCAACAGAAGCAGGGCTGAAAATAAAGGCATTTAATCTCTCACTGACGGGATTTGGTGGGGGGGGGGGGAGGAAAGAAATAGCCCAGTAACTGATCAAAGAGTCAATGGTGCTGAACCGACAGTTTATGGATTTCTGTTTGTGCTACAAAATAAAAAATAAATCAAATATAAATACGGGGATCCATATGAGGACAAGCCGAGCTCTCAGAAGTGCTGGTGTCCGCCTCGGCCAAGCGCCCAGCAGCCCCAGGCGGCCCGTTGGCCTGCGGTGACACCCATCACTTCTGTGGTTCCGAGCTGATCAGGAGGGAGTCTGGGGGAGAGGGGCTCGCTGGGACCCTTCTCTCTTCCCAGAGGGCAGCCTCAGGCTTTCTGGAGAAAGGGCTTTGTCCGCCTGGAAGTGGAGGAAAGTGTTAGAAGTGCCCGAGGAGATTGGAAGTAATTTCCAGATAATTTTCGGTGGGGGGAGGGAACTGGAGAGGGGGACTCCCCTCCCCCTTCCGTGGAATTTTTCTGCCGGGAACTTGCGGCTCCCGGCCCCCGCCCCCTGCCCCTCCCCCAGTGACCTTTTCCCCCCTTTTTTTCTTTTTCTGCGAGGCCGGCGGTGGGGCTGGCGCAGGCGGCGGTGCGGGCGGCCCGCGGCCCCCGGCTCGGGTTCCGGGCGGCAGAGCCGGGCTGAGCGCGGTCGTGAGCGCACCTAGGGCTTCGCACCATCTGGCGGAGCCTCTGCTCAAAACCCACCCGAGCGTGTGCGCAGACACTGCCTTTTTACCCGAGAAAAATCATTGTTAGCAGTTTCAAAATAAACACCAGATTGGCCATTAGCGCTTTCTTTCCAAATATCATCCGGCGGGGAGCACGTGGCCGCGCGGGCCCGGGCGCCCCGGGGCCCTGAGCACTCCTGCGGGCGCCTGGCGCGGCCACGTGCGGCTGCAGCACCCCGGCCCCGGGCCGCGTTCGGAGCCCGGCCGCCCAGGGCCTCGCAGGGCGGCCGGCGGGCTCGCGCGGCGCCGGGGCGGGCGGCCCACCGCAGGCACCTGGCTCTGGAAGGCCGGAGCAGCCGGGGCGCGCGGGGCTCTGCACGAGCACACTGCTGCCCCGGCGGATCCTCCCCGCTTCTACAGTCGCGGCGCCTTCTGGTCGGCTGCTTCCAACACGCAGACTGGAACTCCGGGGAGACAATGGCCCAAGGACACGGCCTGGCGCGGGCAGCCGAGGGGGCCCGGGAGCCCCGAGCCCCTTCGCTTCCTGCGCCCCGGCCTGGGTTTCTCTATTACTCCCCCTCCCCCCGCCGCCTCCTGCCTCAGACCCAGCCCGGCTGGCACACTCCGGACTCCAAGGCCCGGCGCAGGCCTGGCGGGCGCCCGGGACGGGAGACTGCCTTGGCCTAGCTCCGCTCCGGGGTGACTCTGCCTGGGAGGGTGGCCTGGCTGGGCCCTGACGCCGCCCGGTGCCTACCGTGCACCTGCCGCCCGCCAGCCCCGCAGCGCCCGGGGCGATTGGGCGCCAAAGCCGCGGGCGCCGGGTAACCCCCGCCTCTGCTTGTCCCCCCCCCACCCCCCCGCAGGCCATCGTGTACGAGGGCCAGGACAAGAACCCGGAGATGTGTCGCGTGCTGCTGACCCACGAGATAATGTGCAGGTGAGCGGCGGGCGCGGGCAGCGGGGGCGCGGGTGGCCTCGGCGCCAGCTGCGTCTACGAAGGACGCTGCATCCAGGCGCCACCACCCCGCCCAACTTCGGGTAGGGCATCGATTGAAATGCAATCGGCCGGAGTCTGCGCGCCTGGCCACCGAGGAGCCGCTTCTCGTTTCCCCCACCCCGGTGAGGACGCCCAACGCGACCGGCTGCTCAGCAGAGCGGATTAATATGTTGGCCGTGTCGCGGCAGTGTAGTCAAAAAATGAAAACAGGTCCTGGGTGATGCCTCTGTCCCCGATGCCGGGGGAGGCAAAGAGCACTCGGAATCATTTTACTAC